CCGACCACCAACTACTACTCATTAATGACTTGGGGAATTGTACCGGCGAGATGTTTCGGTCATCCCGTCGCTTACGTCACGAGGATGATGTCATGACAGGTCACGGTAGAAAATCGAAGGCTCAATTCGTTTCTTATCATTTCACTCCAAAAAACGAGGAGACTATCTGTATACGGTTAAAACCGGGCCTACCCGATTTTACTATTTGACCGAGACCGGGAGGTTGCATCGAAGGATGGCCTCGTAACGGAACAGACTAAATCACGAGGATGAGATACCGAATTCAAAATCGAGGTACCTGTCGAGATCGAGGCTAGTAGCGATCGAAGCCAAATGAGACAGGCATCGAGCAAGATCGAAGATAGCACAATAACAGAAAGACGAGATATCCGTGACTGGTCGAGGATCATGGCGTAAATCTCGGAACGGATCAAACCAGAAACGGTTAATTAGCTAATCATGGGATTTCCTTTTTTAATAAGAATTATACCATAAGTGGAATTCCTCTACTATTTAGGGGAGGTTCTAATCATCTGTTGGACATATTGTTCACATATATCGAAGCAATATAATTCTCTTTCTCGTTTATACTATTGTTCATCAGCTTGTTATATTTTAATTGTTCTTACATCAATCAGTTCGAGGGTATCCAAACTCGAGGGCTGAGTTCCATTCTAACACTGATTTGCTTTATTTTATAGTTCATTTCTGTTATTAATCTTCATATTTATCAATTAGTATTAAGTGAAATCACGTATCCTTAGAACCACATTATAAGTTTAATTATTATCCAATTTTAAGAGTAAACAATCACACATATTTAAACCACTAACTCTAATTTCTAAATCCGCCTGTGGAAGCATGGACAAATTGTTGTCAAAGCTCTAAATCTGAAGCTATCCCTAAAACGACACTGATAACTCATGCACCCTCTTGAAGTGTCATTTGAATGAAGTTGGGGAGTGGAGAGGGAATTGGATGATTGGTCACTGTTGATCTTATTCTAGTTTCCAGTTTTGACACCATACTTTGAATGCAAAACAAGAAGAATTGTCGGGCATAACTTGTGCATATAAAATGACAAACCCATAACGTTATTTCAAAGCACTGCTCTAGCAGAATTCCTTCTATATTGTGTCTCTTGTTTAGTTTTTTGTCTCAAGTATTGGCAACGTCAAGAGCTGATAACATGTTCTTTTAAGATCCAAACAAAAAAAATTCTGAAGAAAGCTGTGTGGAGTTAGTACCCAGTACTAGTAATTTAGGCGTGCTATAAGAGACGTCATCACCTTTTTTTTCTTTTCAGATCATCTTCTCTTCTTTCATTTTGCCTTTTTCTTTTCTTTTCAATTCTTTTGCTTTTATCATCTTCAAATATCTAAAGAACTGAAAACTATTATAGCAAACTCAGAAATGCAGTAAAATAAATTCAGCTTTTGTAATTTAAAAAGAGTTCTGTGGGTATATGTCTTTATTCCGGGGAGTTGGGGACCATTACTACTTCTGAGCCTTCTATCTGTGGATTAAAGAAGACCCCTTTATTCCCTTTGTCTGAAAATCCCAATGATCAACCCCGGTCATTTCTCTTTTATTTGCTCTTCGGGATTGTTTACATTTTGCTGTTGTTTTTGTAACTCCAAAAGGGTGCGAGTTTGAAAATTGATATGCTGGCAAAAGCACAAACTATATGTACGGAGTGGCGAAACTGGGAATTTACTCAAGAGTATTCAAATTTAAAAGAAGTGAAAAAAAAGCGCGACAAAAGGTGTTCAATACATGTTATATAACTCTAAAACGTAATATTTTATCTATATACACAGTACAATTTTTTGACGAAGGGTAATCAATTGACCACCCTTGTAACTACGTGGCTTCGCCATTGTATGTATGTGGCTATGTCGTACAATGTTAGAGCCAGAATTTAATTTCACTAAATGAATTTAAAATATAAAAAATAAACATACGAATAAGTTAAAAAGATTCGACATCAATTATATATCCATAAGAATTGATTTTGACCTTTTATATATATACTATAATTTTCCGACAATATTCTAATCCCCTTTCCACCCATGGCCGTGTGAGGTGTCACTTGTTTATATAGACATGAAGTACATACTAGTAAGTTTTTGTTCAACATGTATAAAGTAATTATATGTAAGTCACGACATGTAAACTTATGCATGTGTATTATTACTATTATTTCAAAATAAGCTAGCTAGAAATAATTAAATACGAAGATGTCAAACATCCTCTCTCAAGCTCTTTATTAATGGAAGTATATTGATGACCAAATTTTATTGTCCCCTCATATGAGGAAAGTTTCCATTTCGTGTTCATATGGTGTGTAATTAGTGGTGGCAAAATGAATAAAAAATAGTTATCCATCCATATTATTCATAAAAAAATGGGTTGGATAATGAACTTTTTAAGAACGGGTAAAATATGAATAAGAACCATATTATCTAGTTAGAAAATGGATTTCTAATGGATATAATTTTTACATCTGTAAAGACTCAAATTAGAATTTCCTCAAGTTTGGGAGATTAAATGATCATATTCAAGAAGTCATGGATAATATGGATATCTATATTATTCTACGGTTAACCCATTTTCTATCGGTATTAAATGTGGGTCGGATCGAATAATTTAATCATTTTTGCATTACCTATTTTGAACCGTCCATATCCGATCCGACCTGACCCGCCTTTTGCCACCCCATGTATAACTGTGTATGCATCCGGGTGGATGTATCTAAGAATGCGGGAATAGCTTATGAGGGGAAATAGTTGGAACTCTCCTTTTGATATACTCTCTTGGTGTGTATTTGTCAGATCTTCTCCGTCCTTTTCTCCAAATATAATGGTCTATACTCTATATAATTGGTATTTTATTTTATTCTCTTGAGCTATGAACCCATTAAATTTAGCTCATTAAAAGCAGATCATAAGTACGGTCGTGCATAATTTGGTAAATATCGAATTACCGTACCGAAATCGAAAATGTTAATATTTGGTATTCGGTATTTTGGTATTTCGTATGGTGTTTGGTTTAAGTTTTTAAAAAAATTGGTATTAGGTATGGTATTTGGTATTTTAAAATAAAATACCGATACCGTACCGAAATATATATTATATTACACAAAACGCATATTATCAATTATAACATAAATATAAAAAATCTAAAATTTTACTTTCATTTATTCTCTAAGTTCATCAATTAGCTCTAAACAAGTAACAAGACATTTCTAGTGATCAAATTTATTCTTTTATATACAGTTCTCTCTATGGGTCGATATTTGCTGGTTTTGGACAAAACTTTTATCAAAAAACATTTTCAGTTTTGTATTTTTGAGTACTTTAATTAAGAATATTAGAGTCTATGGCTTTATGCACTAGTTAGTATTCAAACCGAAGTTACCGAACCGAATAAAGCGAAACCGAAAGGAGAAAAATCGAATCATACCGAATTTAATTAGGTACGGTATTGGTATAGGATTTTAAGAAACCGAATACTGAAAATACCGAACCGAAATATCTAAATATCGTACCGTACAGATCGACGAACATACCCAAGGATAAGTATCAAGTGCTAATAATCACTTTCAAGTGTTCACACTAATTTCGTGTTTGAATAAAATTGTTAAGACTGATAATAATTGGATTTTGACTCTCTTGCGAAGTGCAATAACGGAGGAATACCTTTTTGTGGTACTCTTTGTCTGTATTTTTTTTTAATTTTACGAACCAAACGGCCAGGGGAAGAGTCGTGCATTCGTCCTCAGTCCTCACATGTCAATTTTCACCCTCAAATGTCATCATTCTCGTTTTCAGTTTTACTTGTCAACTAGTGTTTTCTGTATAACATTCACTTTTTGACTACAAATTTGAGGGAAGGAGACACCATTTACTACTCATCTGTTTCAATTTAGATGACACAATTTCTTTATTAGTTTGTTTTAAAAAAAAATAAAAAATTTATGTATTTAAAAATAATTTAACTTTAAATTTTTCATTCTACCCACTTTACCCTTAATGAGAAGTTTTTATAGCCACACAAATATTATAGTTCTACTAAGATTTTGCCCCTTACACTTTTAGCACCACATATTTCAAAAGTCTTTGTTTTAAACTTTGTGTCAAGTCAAACTAAGTCATGTAAATTAAAACGGATGGAGTAATACATTCTTCTATTTGCTTGAAGCATTCCATTAATACATCTAATGTCATTCGTGGTATTTCTGAATTTATGTGCTGTAATTAGGATCAACGAATAAGAATTTGACAAAGTCAAGAATGTGACTAGTTGGGTTGTAACTCCGTTCATCTCACACGATCAGTTTATACTCAAATTTAATAGAACGCATTTATTTCACATATCGTTTATCATTTGACAAATCTATTCATACTTCACTTTAAAAAAGTTAAAAGTGCTTATTTTCTATGTTAAGGTGCGGCTAACCTAGTCATGAAGTTCCTGTAATTATTTGAATAATAAATCAAATCGAGTAATTTAAAGAAAGAGAATAAGGAATGTGGCTTCCACCACCTTTCAAGTTCCTATGTTGTCTACTGAAATAAACCCATAACTGTTACGAATATGTACACCTCAATTATGAGAGACAGATCCGCTCCACTCTAGAAGTCAAAAAGACCAGCCTATGGATTATAGGTTTGATAGTAATAGTAGTAATATGCTCTCCAATAGGTACAAACTACAAGGCAAAATCCATCAATCAACTAGTGGAATCATTAGCTCATCTTAGTCCTTATGTTATCGAAATGGGCAGCATGTGTCCACAAAAGCATTCAACAAGTAATGATTGTAAACTATCTTTTTCTCCAGAAACATGAAAAAGATTGTTATTCCATTTTAGTAGATTCATTGACAGCACTACAGCATAGAAGTTCTCTGCTAGTCTAAACACAATCACAGAGCAAAACATGTGTAAAACATGAGTAAAGCTGTATGCATGTAAATTAGCACATATATATAACATGCATAAATTAGACTGCTCGAACTGCTCTGTAACAGAAACCTCAATTTGGGTCATTCTATGTTGCTTAACTCCTCTCATCAACTGAATATCTGCGCCTAATGCAAAACTAGGGAGCCGTAGGCTTCCATATTAGGCTTATAATATTATTAGTGCATTATTGAGGAATGTACTCACTGGACTTCTGTATATTCCAATATTACGTTGTATCACTGTATTGTTGAAATGTTTGACATCTTTGACCTTTTATGTTAATCGAACATGTTATTATTTTAGACATGATGAAGAGAACAGGCCAATGAGCCGGTCCTGGTGCAAGTCCAAAGCCATTAGATGAAGCTACTTTTGCCTTTGGGCTGATTACATGTACCTTGTAGAGTGTGGATGAGGCCCAAGCTTGTAAACCCCATTCATCTTACCTTCTGACCATCTGCAAGTAACAGCAAAAGAAAATCTATGACTAGGAAGTATAATTTTAAGATAGTTCTCAGAAATCCAAAGTTTAGTGCGGCAAAAGGTCCCAAGTAAAGGTCACAGGATTATGTTCCTTCAGCAGTCATTCTTAAGCATGGTGCACAGTTGCAGTGACTAATTTCTTTCTGCATTGGGCACATTCAGCCATTCCCACACAGTCGGGGTGTTGTTGAATAGACCAAGTTCTTTGTTGCCATAGAAAGCGCACTTTTACAAGCATTTCAATATCTTAGAAAATGTTAAATTTTTTATTTTTCCAAAATCACATACAATATGATGTCTCATTTTTCTAAATGGGAAATTAATTCCTAAAACTACATCGACTCTTTACCTAACATTGGCTCTGAGAGGGGGGACTTGAAGTAATGGATTTTCACACTGTATACAGTTAAAAATACACCGTAAGTGTGATTCCAAGACATTACTGTGTCACAGATCATCAAAACAGACCCATAGGAAAGTTGAGACTTTTTGCCACCAGTTTAAGCATTGTCCGGCCAGATGGAAGCTCTCCGCATCTAAGAATATCCACAGAAAACCTGAATCCAAGATAAAAGAGACAAACCATTACATACTGAAATTATCTGTTCATATGAATGAAACTTACATAGAAAAAGAGAAGGAAAAAGAAGGTTACTAGTCAGTAGTCACCTATCTGTTGGACTGTAAACCTTTACCACCATAGTATTGTTTTGTAGTTTCACGGGAAAATTCTGCAAATGTCATCCCATCTTTCAGCCTCGACAAAAGTGGTGGAACAATCTTTTGAATTTCTTGACTTAATTCCTCTGATACCTGCCTAGACTCTTCAATTCCCTCAATACATACCCCACACTGCTGACTACTTAAATTTAAACGTTCAAGAGGGTAATCCGAAAGAGAGAATTGTTTGCTCCATGCTGGCTGCAAGAAGACAACAAATGTTTCTCTGCTCAAGTTTTCAATCTTTGGTGGTCTACAAACACAATGAAGTGTTGCTCGTAGCTTCCCCTTAGATAATATATCAGCTGCTTCTCCAACCTGCAGAATGAGACTCTCTGAAGGCGCCTTTACCATGAAGATCTGATTCTTTTTGGGATCAAATATTTGAAGATATGTGTGACCACTGGGCGAAGGGAATTCATGCTCAGAAGAAATAGGTGAACCAGTATTTACAGCAGCTGGCGTTTCTTGGCGAGAGGACAACAGAAACATGGGAACTGTTAAGAGAGTGAAAATGCCATAATCATAATGCCACTGCTGCCAAAGACCATAGTCATTTGACTGGTCTTTCGATAAGTCAGTGCCTTGCTGTTTCGTACTTGCTTGCTCATTCTTATTGACTTTTCCATTTCTTGATTTAACATATCCGTTTCTTTTTGCAGCTTCTCTAATAATATCATTGTCAACAGCGGAATGGTAATGGATTAGACGCCCTTTAGCTGTGCCAGACTCTAGTAAGCTCTGTTGTAGCTCTTGGCCTCCAATGATCTTATCACATATTTGGGCAAGACGAAGCCCTATGTCCATCATGCAATATCCTAGCTCCTTAAAGGTGCATCCTAATTTCTTAAACTCATCCTGATCAACCACTTCGTCATCCCCATTACCAACATCTAGATCATTAACCCGACAGTCACCTCTTTCAAAGCACTGCTCATATTTCAATTGCATAGAAAAAGACGAGACATTTCTATTCGGGTTCTTCAATGAAACATCACTTCCTAGATTGTTTTCCTGTTGCTCAATAATAATATTAAGAGGATTAAGTAATAGAGCAATTCTTTTCTTTTCTTTTTTTGATAAGTAACAAGGCAAATTATGCAACCAGGCTCTACCATCCATGTTCTTTCCAAAAGAAAATCCTTGAGCTTTGCAAGTTGCACATATTTTACAATGCACAGTCAGATTTCAAAAGATAGTGATATTTCAAACTACTATCATTCCCTCACTCTCAATCAGTAAAACTAGCAAAACAATTCAGGACATTGATGAATACGCCCAAATTAAAGTGGGCTAGAGCATTGAACATTAGATACCGATGCCTCGATCTGAAAATAGTTTATCAATAAATATACATAACCAACCCAGCTAGTTTGAGATACGATATCCTGCTTTATTTGGGAACATTTCATTCAAACATAGTTAAAAAATCATTCTTTAAGGCAAACTCAGGATTCTCTAAATAGAACGTCTCTAAATTTTACAAACAACTCGTTTTATTTGGGCACATTTCTTTTAATTTTCATTGCATTATGTTATTAGCTGATAAGACTGTTGAAGATTGGACATGAAGAAGGAAGTTAAAGGGAACAAAAATTAAAACTGGGAGAGAGGTAGACCTTAAGAAGGCGTTTGCGATCTTCGTTATTGAGAAGAGAGAGATTTCGAGCCAAAGGATGAAGAGTTCGACGAAGATTGGAAGCTTTTGGAACGCCGGTGATGGCCAGAAGTCCGGGTCCCTCTGGCCCTAGGTTTTCCATAACACTTGTGGTGATTGATTCAAGCCGCTGAATTTCTTCAGAAGATTCTGCTGCTGATAAAGCTTTCTCTGAAGAAAGTTTCTTCAAATCAGAGTACTGAAGCTCGTACAGTTCTACTACTTCTCCTTCCATATCTTCTCTTTCTTTGCTATCGCAATGTTGCAATTTCGAAGTCGTGACATATTTATAGTCGACCCAGAGTGATATCGTTTGGTTCCAAACTTAAAATAGCAGACGGACTTCTGCCAAAGGCTAAACTCCTTAATTTTTAAAGTTCATTAACTATCCACTTTTAGTAATAAGCTAAAATAAATAAAATTTATCTCGATTTCTTTTCCATATCGTTTTCTGATGTTCTTAGAGTATACGTCTAAAATTGGGGGTAATGTATACCCCGATTCCCCGGGGAAGAAAACGTAAGAAGGACATGGACGCACGAGATAGAAATCGAGGTTGGGGCCCTTCGTATCGAGACTCATGGAAGGTGAACGATGTGTTCATCATCGGGCATAAAAAAGCGACACTCTCTAGATCCAGAACGAGTTCTAAAACCTCCGGAAATACAGTAAACGGTTACACACAACGGATAGAGGGTCGTGATATTCATACCTAACCGGATACCACGACGCAGATATCGTTCGATGTTAGTTACGGATCAGTAATTAACGAAAAAGGAAGATTTTTACCTTTTTTAGACTTGTACTAGGGATGAAACTCTCATACTATATAAAGGGCAATTTTTTCTTTGATAATACACGAATCAAAGCAATACAAATTCATTTCCTACTTTCTAGCTACTGCAAAAGTTCTTATTTAATTGTCCTGTTCTTCATTCACAACTAGGCTCGAACCAAAGGACCAATCGAGGACAAAATTACTGTTCAACCTAGGTTCGGACTAGGCCATAACATTACAACTGGTTTGATCGTTTATTTTGTTTTTAACTCGTTTATCTAATATTTTTGCTTATTTGTGTTGAATCAATCTACGTATCCTTAAAATCGCGTAAAAATTTAATTATTATTCAATTTCAAGGTTAAACAGTTTGGCGTCAACCGTAGGGCTAACAATAATAGTGGTAATTTGATACAAATCTCCATAACACACCATATTTTACGCTTGTTCTTTAAAGTCTTAATTTCATATCAGCTTAAAAATGTCGAATTCTCAGTTTGTCCACTTGAATGTTGACGTTGAGTCTGGCCATCATGGCGAAAATAATAATTTTGTGCCTAGCAACGAGGTGTCTCCTGCTAATCCCAACAGTGTCCCAGTTGCCAATTCGATCGATGCTAACTCACAGGTGGCCATCGACATTAATTTATCAACTGATCCCGAAAACAGCGTTCGCGGGGGACCCCGACCAACAGCTCGAGAAGCGCCCGAAGGCGAAGGTGATGGGGTAAGGCTACAGTTAATTTTCGAAATGTTGCAGGCTCAACAGGCGGCAATATCACAGTTACAGAATCAAAACCACGCCCCCAGCAGGGTTGAGTCCGAACAATCCTGGGAAAGCACCCGAAGAAACGAACATATCATTGAGAGACCGGGTGAAGCCGAGCCCGGGGTCAAGCCCGAGATAATGAAAATGCTTAAAGCATTAACGAGGCGGGTAGAGTCAGGCGAGAAGAAAATTGAGGCCAATGACAAGAAGGTGGAACCATACAATTTCAGGGTCGATCAAATCCCGGGAGCACCCCCGATATTGAAAGGGCCGGATTCCAAGAAATTTATCTAGAAATATTTTTCTCCGAGCGCAACACCGAAGTTGATCCCAAAGAGGTTTTGTATGCCGATATCCCCAAATATAACGGAACCACAGATCCGAACGAGTATGTGACCTCCTATATATGCGCAATCAAAGGGAACAACATAGAAGATGATGAAATCGAGTCGGTGTTACTGAAGAAGTTTGGGGAGACTTTGTCCAAAGGAGCAATAATATGGTATCACAATTTAATCCCAAATTCCATTGACTCATTTGCTATGCTTGCAGATGCTTTCGTGAAGGCCCATGTAGGGGCCATCAAGGTCGAGACCAGAAAGTCGGACCTTTTCAAGGTTAAGCAAAGAGACAACAAGATGCTCAGGGAGTCGTGTCAAGGTTCCAGATGGAACAGATGGACCTGCCTCCGGTTGCAGATGATTGGTCCGTTCAGGCATTCACTCATGGGCTTAACCCCCGAAGCTCCTTGGTTTCTCACCAGCTAAAATAAAATTTGATAGAGTACCCGGCAGTGACTTGGGCTAATGTCCACAACAGGTACCAGTCGAAGATTAGGGTTGAGGACGACCAACTCGGAGCTCCTTCTAGGTCTGTTTATCCTATCAGGGCCGACGACAGGTCTAAGATAGCCATTGATCATGAGCCAAGGCAGGTCCAGAATCGGTACCTACCATACAGCGACGACCGAAGGGGAAATGGGTCCGGGCGTCACCCCCACAAGGAACGAAAAAAAAGGCAATTGAGGGCCCAGTAGCCGAGGTCTGATGAGCAAAAATGGTGTCGACAGGCTGCTCGAGAGTAGGAAAGCACCAAGATTATTAGAGTATAACTTCAACGATGATGCTTCCAGTATCATGTCAGCCATCAGGCGCATCTAAGAGACCAAGTGGCCCCGACCATTACAGTCTGAACCTATCCAAAGAGATCCTAACTTAATATGTAAGTATCACGGCACTCATGGTCACATGACCGAGGATTGCCGACAGCTAAGAGAAGAAGTTGCCCGATTATTCAACAACTGGCACCTCCGAGAGTTTCTGAGTGATAGAGCCAAAAACTACTTCAGGAACAGGGACACCAACAAACAGATCGAACAAGACGAGCCTCAGCACGTCATCAACATGTTCTTCGGAGGAGTCGATGTCCCCCAAGGACCAATGATAAAGCGCACTAAAGTGTCTATCACGAGGAAAAAATGCACCCGAGATTATGTCCCAGAGGGAACCATTACGTTTAGCAGCGAGGATGTCGAGGGCATCGTGCAACCTCACAATGATGCACTGGTAATATTCGTACTTATTAATAAATTTTGAGTTAAACGTGTATTGATTGATCCAGGTAACTCGGCCAATATCATCATATCAAGGGTCATAGAGCAATTGGGGTTACAGGACCATATAGTGCCAGCAGTCCGGGTGTTGGACGGATTTAACATGGCATGCGAAACCACTACAGAGGAGATAACTCTGCCGAGGAACACCGCCAGGACGATCCAAGAGACAAAGTTCTACATGATCGAAGGGGAAATGAGGTATAGCACTCTATTCGGAAGGTCGTGGGTTCACAACATAAGGGCGGTACCCTAGACCTTACACCAGGCATTGAAAATCCCTACACCAGGAGGAGTCAAGATGGTCTACAGAGAGCAGTAGGCCGCAAAGGAGATGTTCGCAGTCGACAAGGTAATCCTGGTGCCGGCGATTTCGACATCAAGGAACACGGATCCAACCAGAAAGGAAGAAATTAAATAGCAATCACTAATGTCGGTCTCGGCCGAACCGGAAGAACAAGGAATAGACGAGGAGGATGATTACGGAGTCCTAAGATCATTCATAACTCCTGATGACACCGATGCCACCAAATCGACGGTCGAAGAGTTGGAGCAAGTCATATTAATCAAGCACTTACCAGATCGAAAGGTATACCTGGGCACAGGGTTAACCCCCGAGCTAAAAAAAAACTCATTAATTTTCTTAAAGCTAACATAGAGTGTTTCGCTTGGTTCCATCTTGACATAACAGGGATCCCACCGGAAATACCACTCATAAGCTGAGTTTGGATCCGAAGTTCCATCCGGTCAGAAGAGGAGGCCGCATTCCGAGATCAAGCATGCGTCCATCAAGGACGAGGTATCCAAACTCCTTAAAATAGGGTCGATTCGGGAAGTTAAATACTTGGACTAGTTAGCTAACGTAGTAGTAGTGCCTAAGAAGGGAATAAGCTAAGACTGTGTGTAGATTAGAAAGACCTAAACAAAGTGTGCCCTAAGGATTCTTTCTATTTGCATAACATCGATCAGGTGATCGATGCGACGGTCGGGCATGAGATACTCAGCTTTCTCGATGCCTATTCGGGGTACAACCAAATTCGGATGGACCCGGACGATCAAGAAAAGACTTCTTTCATCACTAAATTTGGCACCTACTGTTATAATGTAATGTCGTTTGGATTAAAGAACGTCGATGCCACCTATTAACACCTAGTAAATCGGATGTTCGAAGAAGAGATAGGAAAATCAATGGAAGTTTATATTGACGATATGTTAGTCAATTCCTTGCGAGCAGAGGACCATTTAAAATATTTGCAGGAGACCTTCGACATACTAAAGAAATACAATATGAATATGAACCCGGAGAAGTGTGCATTCGGGATCGGATCAGGAAAATTCCTCGAGTTCATGGTATCCAATCGAGAGATCGAGATCAACCCCGACAAAATCAAGGCCATAGAGGACATCACCGTGGTGGAAAACGTCAAGGCCGTTCAAAGACTGACCGGGCGCATAGCCACCCTGGGCCGGTTCATATCAAGGTCCTCGGACAAAAGCCATCGATTCTTCTCACTTATTTAAATGAAGAATAACTTTTCTTGGACCCAGAATACCAGCAAGCTTTGGAAGAACTCAAACGGTACCTATCGAGTCCACCCCTGCTGCACACTTCAAAGGCAGACGAATAGTTGTACCTCTACTTGGCAGTCTCCGAGGTGGCGGTAAGTGGAGTCTTAGTCCGGGAGGAAGAAGGTACGCAATTTCCTATTTACTATGTCTGTAGAACTCTAGGGGAGGCCGAATCAAGGTATCCTCACTGGAAAATTTGGTGCTCGCTTTGCTAAGCGCCTCCAGGAAGCTAAAGCCATACTTTCAATACCACCAAATATATGTCGTGACCTCTTACCCAGTAAGGAACATCATGCACAAGACCGAGCTCTCGGGCCGGTTGGCCAAATGGGCCGTGGCGTCTACGATATCGAGTATCGACCCTGAACCGCCATAAAATCTCAAATTTTGGCAAACTTCGTGGCCGACTTTACGCTGGCCTTAATACCTGAAGTCGAAAGGGAATTACTGTTAACCTCGGGGACCACTTCGGGAATCTAGACCCTTTTCACGGATGGTGCCTCGAACGCGAAGGGGTCCAGGAACGGTATCGTACTAAAACAGCCTATGGGAAATATAATTAGGCAATCTATTAGAACTGTGAAATTGACTAACAATGAGGCCGAGTTTGAGGCCA